TTTCTCTTCCATGTTTTTGTTCTTTTATATTTTGTGCAGATTTAATGGTAAAAGAAAAGAAGAAACTGCTCTGGGTATGTCATATCCAGCACGAGCAATCCTCGCTCGAATAATGCCGGGTTAAAGAAGAAAAATGTACTCAACCCAGGCCCATATGGGAATAAGTGCCAGACGATAATAGCTGGTTATTTTTAAGTTGAATGGGTCATAATAACAGAACCAAAAGATACTTCTTACAAAACACTGAAAGCATTAACTGCTGTGGCATTCACAGAGAAATACTACATAAATAAAAATTATCCCTCAATACCTTCCTTTAATTTTTATTTCCTTTTCTTAAATTCAAAAAGTTATATTTACATTCTTATGCTTGATTTTAGTTTATACATTCTTAATCACCAAAAACATTTGCTTCTTAATTATCCACTACTAAGTTAACTAATGGTTGTTTTCTTGTACTCTAACTCACAGGGTTACTTTTATATAGAATTACATAGGTTTTCTGTATTTCTTTATAATTTGCACAATTTATATTGCAGAAAACTTCTAGTTTTTCAGTTGAAAAAGAACTGTTCTCCAAACATTAATAATGAAGACCCAAATTTATCTAAAAGTTCTTTTTACATTTTCAGTATCTTTACATTTAAATTTTCTACATGTCTATTTTCAAGACTAAAAGCACATGCTAAATCTAGATGAGTTTTATTAAACTCGTATAAAATATTATCAATTGTTTCCCTGTAATAGAAATTAATTTTTCTTTTTTCATTACATACTGGTGATTCTAGTTCTGCTAAAGTGTCTATGCCTTTCCATTCAACCATTCCAAATTTCTTATCATTTAGTGCAGGGGTTCTCAGCCTGGGGGGGATGTGGCCAGCCTTTTGTATACTTGTTAAGCATTTAGCTTTAGTTTATGAATATAAAAAAACTATTTTTATTCAAATTTTGGTATTTGTCAACATTTTCTTATTTAATTTATAAAACACATAAAAATAATCTCAATTTAAATAAATCTATATGTAAAATTCGCAAAGCCATAACCTAGTGTTTGGTTAGATTTAATCAAGAACTTGATCAATTCAATTGAGTACTTAAGGGTTATCTGCCTTAGCAGAGATAGCTTCTGTGTTACAGAAGATTTTCTAAATAAAACTGGAATATAAAAATTAGTAGAAATCCATGCATGAACTTTTATTTAAAGAACAAGATTAACCTTCATGTTTAAATTGTTAAATTTTTCAACTGAGAATAAATACATTAATTATGAACATTTTAATTCATGAAATGAAATCCATGAGCATGAAATTTACATTTTAATCCACTGGGAGCTTAAATATGTTTGGTTATTTACGATAACTAAATATATATCTTGTTTTACCTTGATGACATACGAATGTGACAGAATTCAAGACAATATCATTTTCCTATTCAAAGACATAAAAACTGAAAGGCTAATAAAAGAACATATTTCAATTGCTTCAAGAAAACTGGCAATTCTTCTTAATCATGCATGTTGCTGTTTTGAAAAATGGCCAGTTAAATGGCATAATTAACCAACATACAAGTAAAAATTTACCCATACTCGAATAATTTTTAACAGTACTTTTTTTAATATTCAACTACTTTCATCAAATACACCATATTTTTTTAATAACATTGAAAAACCCTTTTCTGTAATAGAATTTCAAGTTAAAAATGCAATTTATTTAAGTATTTACATATAAGCTCACCCACCTCGGTGCTGTTTGGTGAATTTTTTACTCTATGTTGATATACAATCACAAATACAAAAATTAATCGCCCTGTGCAATCAAGGCTTGCATGTAACAGTGATTTCTGATGTGAGAAATTAATTTGTTTTGTCTTGCTTCCAATTTATTTGTGTACTACATTCTACAAATAACACATGAGTGATGAAGGGATATAATTGTGCTTGCATGTTGTAAATTAAAATAAAATAACTACAGATGATAGTTAATAGTGGAATACTTACTTCCATTTATATATGTTATCATAAAAGACTAAAATTGGAGAATGTCGATATTCTCTAGTGGATGTCAACACATACAAAATATGTCAGTGAAAGACCGAATATTTGGTCATATACATTCAGACCATCACTTTTGTATGTCAACAAGCATAGATATGCTCTGGTGGAGGTTGAAAGGAAAAGACGAGAAGAAAGAAGTGTACCACAACTAAATGCAGTTGTAAAAGCAAGATGCTTGTGCAATTCAAAGGATCATAACAGTTTAAACCGTTGCAATAAATTAGATTGTTTAACATCAATCACATTATTAAATATGTTTATTATTGGCATTATTTTCGTTTCTCATTTAAGGCTTTCTCCTATTTTAGCATTATCATAATATGTTTTAATAATAAAATACTACTTAAAAACCTAACAAAAATATTTTTATTCAACATTCATCATCAGTACATAGTGAATGCCGACACTTGTGTATGTGAGAAATAAGGATATTTAGGAAATATTTCGGTCATATACCAAGAGACTCTGTGAATGATGACATTCTCCAAATTCCGGTCTTCCTTGGAGATATATAATGATCATATTTCCAGAGGTAAAATTTTTTCAATGTTTGATGTGGATAATAAGTGTATTTATAAAATCACTATTCTCACATACACTAATCGCTATTCCATTACTAATAAGCATGATGGGAAAATGAAAAATTTGAACCAACTTAAAAACAGTTTTGACCACATGACATGCGATTCATTTAATGTTGATGCAAAAGTTAACATTTATGAAATCTTTTTAAATTTGGATATGGGGAATAAAACTATGCTGAAAATGTACTTTAACTGTTTACCACAATTTCAAATATCACCAAATTGGCCTGTTTTTGTGCAGTTTCCCATGAAAGCAAAATTATGCATGCTACCAAGTGGAAGCATGCATAAAATGGTGGTAAAATAGAGAAAATACAAGATTTCCTCACTTCAGTTTTCTAATGCATCTTTCTTTATTGGCAAATAAAGTTTGATGATGTCAGACAAGAATGCACAAAAAGCTTTGTCTTTGATTAAAAGATTATAGAATTTCTTACATATATATTCTCATAAATAGGAATGAAATTCATCCTTTACATGAAAGGTATTATTTCGGAGGGTGTGTCTCACAGCTGAACAACTCGCATCAGCTGAGTATGCCCCCATCTCAGGATTTCTGAACTTCATAATAAGACACAATCAAACTCACTATTATACATTAATCAGTCTGATCCTAGTATATGGTGCACAAGAGATTTGGCAACTAGGGATATATCGGATGGGTTCAAACGCATCATTTTGGCGTTGGCAGCAATTTTCAAAATACCGTCAAAGCCGTACCTTACACTAGGATTTCACCTATCAATCTAAATCTAGCCACCCAGTCGGTATGGTGGTCAGGGAAGCTGACTGCAATGCTGAAGGGCCTGGGTTCGAATCCCAGAGAAAGCATGGTTGTAACTGTCCGTCCCTTCATAGGAAAGGCAATGGTGGCCCACCTATTAGGTGCCTCCATAATAAAGAGACCACCACATCCGGCCTTGTATAGATTAATGAACTGGGTTACATTTGTAATTGTTCACAATCTGCCATTGGAAAAAAAAAAATCTAAATCAGCTTTCTTCCCTTATATTTCCACAAGCATAAATATAATAGCACAATCACTCATCTGTTTCATATCCCGAATACTTTACATGCCATGATTTGATAAATAACATAAAAATACACATATAACACAAAAATGCGATTTCTCCACATGAAATCTTTAAGGCATAAGATAACGATCATGGGTCAAATTTAATTCAAACCACTATACTATTTGAATATCTACATGAGGTGTACTAACAACTCAGCATACTTCTCAGATACGGAATAAAACTCTTGCCAAGATTGGCATGCTTTTCACATAGAAAATATTTTTTCACAAAGCAGTGGGTTAAACAGCATTCCACCGTGAAAGAATAGAATAATTATATTTGAGAAATATACATTTCCAAAATGGAGGAAGAAGAATGAAAAATATTGGATTGATGAGTATTGGGTTATAAAAAGCATCGAAGGGATTACAATATTAAGAACTTCTAAACTAAAATATACATCTGAATTATAACTAAAATTAAATTCGGCTAAAGTGCAGAATCGCCCATTTATTTGATTGGCGCTTTTTACAAGAGTAAGAAGAATTGGATTTTTGTGAATTTTCTTTGACTTTTTGGTAAAAGTTTACAATTGGGTGCCCTTGTTTATTGGCGATTCCTTTTTGACGCCAAGATTGGCACCAGGAAGGCACAATTTCAAGATGTCCGCTACACAAAACCAAAATAAGAAGTCAAAGAATTGCACAAAATCTGTGTCCATGTACACATCAATCTGTTTTTACTTAAAAAAACATCCTACAATTGCACAAACTAGGCATTGTGCACTGCTTTAAATATGTCCATGTACACATCAATCTATTTTCATTCAAATAAAATCAGGAAGCTAAAACAAAGTTAAAACTATCGAGGTAACCAGAAATGAGGTTTCATCGCCAAAATTTTAAAAAACAAAAATGTCGCCAATAGAAGGGGCACCCAATTCTACACTAGAGCCGACTTTTTAAGTGAAAATAGGTCAATGTATACATGGATAAAGTCAAGGGAGTGCGCCAGAGGCGTAGCTAGGGTTTTCAGCGGCCGGGGACAACTGAAAATTTTGCGCCCCTTTCTGTGTTCCAAGGATAGAAAACATTTCATTCTGCAATTTCATCACATCAGTTTGGCACCCCTGCGCCCGGGGACAGATGTCCCCCCTTGCCCCCACCCTAGCTACGCCACTGGAGTGCGCAATGCCATTTTTGTGCAATTCTGGGATGTTTTTTTCAAGTGAAAATAGGTCGATGTGTACATGCACACCGAGTACGTGCAATTCTTAAAAACGCACCAAGCAGTGGGCGATTCTGCACTTTCCCCTTAAATTCAATCTATAATCCAAAAACTGCCTACTTTCAATGATACTTCTGTCTGCAGACATAGAGATTTCTGTTTTGCTGCACTATTCATAAGATACGGAGTTTTTATTTGAAAATATACATCTCGAATCTTCAGTTTTTTCTTTACTGAATTTTCATCTATGCATGATTCATAAATCTGATTAAGGTAAGTTTTGCAACAAATAAAATATCCTCTATCATCTTCAAACAAAACACTCATGTTTGTTTACAATTTTTTTTTTAAACTTTCGCGGTTACGATTAACTTGCTTTAAACAAAATGGGAATGGTAAAGTGCGGTAGAGAGCAATATTTTTTAAAAAGTAAATCTCAATAAAGCTGATGTTAGTTAAAAATAATCCAAAATAAATACTGGTTCATAACAATTTATTCACACTGATTGTCCCTTGTTAATCTGGAATACTAGCTCAGGTAGCTCTCGTAAGAAGAACAGGGTGCTTGCAAAAATTTCACGACAAACGAAATAAACGAAGCTTACTACAAGAACATGGAAAAGTTTATTAAATAAAATGCGCTAGAAGTAATTTAAAAATAAACAAAAAAATTATTTAATATTAAATGCAATGGAGGGCGCTGCGAACAAGGAAGAAGAATGTGGCGATTTTTTTAGAAGTCCGTTACAATTATGCGACTACAAACGCTGACGGTTTACGGAAGTTAGCGGGTCTCACGTGACTGGTGGCAACAATACGTCACAAACTATTTGTCTGGGTTACTATAATTGGCTGTTTTCCACTTTTTTATGTGAATTTCGAGAAGTTTAGTTTATAGAAAATCCTTAATATCATGATGTAAACAAACACCGATGGCAAAAAATTATTTGGTAACTACATCCATTACGTATTGATAAATGTTTCGACATGATTACATATAACTGCATTAATAACCAAATAAAACAAACTTAGATTACAAATGCGTTATGTAATGGAGCATGTAACTAAAACTTCAGAATTGTAGAATCCGGAAGATTTTTTTTTCCGAGTTAGAAGTATAACAAAATACGAGCAGTGTTCTAATAATTTTTAAATCTTCATATTCTTTAATATTACTGCTGTTTTTGATAACATGATCATAACATAACTGATGATCATAACATCATTTAAAATAAAATCTAATTAAAATAAATCATTAAATAAAATCTAGTAATTCTGCTGAATACTGCTTTTCATGAAAGCACGAGAATATTTTAATGGGATTATTAAAGTATCTGTAATAAAGAAAAAAAAAAAAAGTAGGTTAGGAATAAACAGTAAGTAAAAGGAAGATTACTAATAATATATATTAACTATTGTATATATGTGTAATTTTGTGAATTGTGAAATAATGATATTTGTTCATTTTATAATTTAATAAATAAAAATTGTGAAAAAAATTATATTTGTTCATTTTATAATTTAATAAAATATATGAAAAAGCTACGTACTTTTTAAAAAATCATTTGCACTTTTTTTCATTATTGCATTTAAGTTTTATTCATTATTTGAATCAATATATATAAGAATATAAGAGAATCGTATACATTTTACAAGTAAAATATTATATACGCAGTATGAATGGAGATATGTTACTGTAAGATCCTAAAGTCTGGTAAATCCTAGGTTTTACCAGTAAAACCTAGCTTTTACCAAAGTAGCTTGTTAAAAGCTCGAAGTATGCTTTAATATGATTCCACTTCAGCCTTTGAGGTAAAACCGAGGAGTTACCAATGCCTTCTGGTAAAATCCTGAAACGAGGGATTTAAATCAACCTTGAATAAGCCTCCGCACACAAATTCCGTCATGACACTTTTCTGTTCCTGCCTCTCCTTATTTGCACCATTCGCAGTCTAACTTGGACATAATTTAAACAAGTGTAAGCAGCTACGATCTAAAAAAGAAGAAGTTTGGGCGCAAGTGCAGAATCGCCCACTTATCGATGTTCACATGGACAAAGTCAAGGGAGTGCGTAGTGCCAAGTTTGTGTAATTCTCTGATGTTATTTTAAGCAAAAATAGGTTCGTTGTGTACATGGACACTGAGTTTGTGCAATTCTTAGACTTGTTATTTTCAAGTTGGCGATTTTGAGAAATGCGCTAAGCAGGGGTGATTCTGCACTTTCCCTGAAGTTTGTTTCCATTTTTACATACTTTGCTTTTTTTATTTTGCTGATGGGAAATGAGTGATGTTATGCGGAAAAAGATTATGACATTTTGTCTGAATTTGTAAAAAATAAGCCTGATAACTGCTTTTATTTAACAAGTGAGAAATATGTGATGGAGAAACAAACAGTTCATTACAGAAGGTTGAAACGCTGTCGTATTCTAATTGGAGGAAAGGACAAACTTATAATATCACTATTTGCAAAAATCCTATATTATGTTACAACTGATGAAGTCTTCAACACAGCACTCATATTGCAATTGGCCATGGTGAAAGAACTTGCATGATTAAAGAACTGAATCGTAAGTACAAGAATGTAACAGTAGAACCTATTTTCACATATTTAAGACTATGCGAACCATGTCAGAAGAAACAAAAAACTGTGAAAGATGGGATTGTAATTAAATCAGTTGTGCATAGTGAAATGAATTCTCGATGCCAAGTCAACCTAATAGATATGCAGTCCAATACTGATCATGATATGAAATTCATTTGAGTGCATCAAGATCATCTTACACAATTTGTCCTACTCCGAAGTTTACACAGTAAAAGAATTGTTGAAGTAGCATATCACTTTCTGGATATTTTCATAGCTTTTGGAGCCCTGAGCATTCTTCATTCTGATAATAGGAGGGAATTTTGCAACCAAATCAAATCATAAACAGTTTATGTGAAATGTGGAGTGATATAAAAATAGCTCACTGAAAACCGAGACACAGTCAGTCACAAAGTTCTGTCGAACGGGTGAACCAAGATGTTGAGAACATGTTGGAAACAAATAAGATAGGAAATTGGTCAGAAGGATTAAAATTTGTTCAAAAATAAAAAAACAAAGCATATCAGGAGGGATTCAAATGTTCATCTTAATGAAGCTATCCTGTGATGTCCTGCAAAGTTGTCTTATGAAGCTAGGACTTGCTAACTCAGTTTTGCCACATAATTTGATTAGTAACATGACCACTGAACAGGATTTAAAAAAAAAAGTTATAAGTATGTATTACTAATGAATGTGTGGTTAATACAGAAAATGGGAAAACTAATCTCGAATCAACAGTTGATTTAGAATTGCAAGATAATAATAATGCATATGAAAAATAATCAGACATAACAATGGAAGCAGATACTAAAGTTTGAATTGAAATGAAAGAACCAGATATATGCTCTGACACAACGGGTGCAATTATCAAGAAAACTCAAAATGTGAAAGTGTTTCGAGAGACAGTTAAGGAAGGACTTCAGAAGCAGGCAAAGAAGATGAAGACTGTGTCTACTAAAAACTTTCCGAAACCTACATTTGGACAAATACTTTTGGAAAAATGTTAAAATAAAAGTACCTGATATTGATAGATCAAAAATGGATCCAAAATCAATAATAGCCGTTATTAGAGATATTTAAGATGATGAGTTTTTATGTTTTTGATAGTAAGTTCGGTAAATTAAAATCGTTGTAAACAGGAAAGCAGTTTATTTTTTGTAAAGAAAAAAATTTTTGAACATTGAAGAAGTTGGTATAGAAGAAGTAAGTGTATGTGAAATAGTAAAAAAAAAAAAAAAAAAATTTCTTTAGTTGGGGGACAAGGACTTAGAAAATGCAGCTGTTAAAAAAAGTGTACTACGAACATCTGTTTGTGCAAATCAGCTGATCTACTTTGTAAATCCAAATGCCATAACAATCAAACTTGTTGTAACAGGTAATAAAATGTATTAAAGTAGTAGTACTAAAGAAAAACATGCTACAGTTTTCTTATTTTTTTAGTTACGTGCTTATTTAACTCTACCTTATATGTTGTGGTATTTCAATTCCTAGGTTTTTAATCTTTTTTTTTTTTTTTTTTTTTCCTCGTTTTCAATCTTAGAACTTTGTATTTATCAAGTAATAAAACAGAAGCTGCTTACAGTATCATCTGTATTCAGGCTTACAGTACTGGATATTAAGATCCTTCAAGATTCAGTGTTATTCAAGTTTGGCATGTTTGATAGTGAATACAAGTAAAATATGTTACGAATAAGAAATATTTGAATTTCAGTTATTATACTTGATACTCAAGTCATAAAAATGTTATTTATTCCTTGTTAGTTGAAATCATATTTTAGGATATTATGAGTTAAATTTCGTAAACTATATACTTAAAAAGAAAAACCTTTGAAAATTTGTCCTTAGGTGATAAAACAATATTAAAATATAGCATATAAGCATAAAATTAGAATTCAATAGCCAAGCCAGAATTTAAATTACTAAAGTTTAAAATGCTAAATTTAAATTACTAAAGTTTAAAATAGTGTGAAAAAAGTCTCATGTTATTTCGAGCTTCCCAATTATGTTTAAGTAGAGAATTCTTTGTTAGAGCAGGACAAAGAAGGAAGTGATCACTATCCATAAAGCCAGAATGGCAGAGATAATCAAGACTATTAAAAATTCCAGTCTTACTCATGTGGACAGCCCAGCAATGATATTCCACTGCTAATCAAAACACAACTATTGTATCTTCACAAGGGCACCAGTCTAGTAAATCATCAAAATCCTTGAGTTTTTCCCTCAATGTAAATTAAACAAAACCCTGCTGAATTTTAAGCTTCGTGGCTCAAAGTTTATCTGAGACATCTATGAAAGTCTAAGAATGTTGTTGAAACTTGAGTTGGAAATTTGTATCTCATGAGACATGCACAGTTGTCCAGTTCAGTATAAAAGTAACTCTTAGGGTTGTTTTTTTCAATGCCAGTCAAGGCGAAGAATCTGATTTTGCATTTGTTCCAATTTGTTCTTCAAATCCTCAAAGGCAGTTATTAATTGAGTGCTGGAATATTTCATAACAGTAAGTAGGTTTGTAAGTTGTAAATAAAGTGGAAGTCGCATATCCCCACCTTACTCCTGTTGTTTAATTACATTGAAAAAATTATTTATCCTTAACGTTAGTTCCTCCACCCATTAATTCCAAGACCAATTCCTATTTAAGACAATTACCATGTAGTTAAAAGTTTAGAAACAATTATTTCAATGATAATTCCTCCAATCCATTAATTCCAAGACAAATTTCTATTTAAGACAATTCCCATTTAGTTAAAAGTTTAGTATTGAGGCACA